GGGCAAGAGCAAATGGACACTCGAATGGATCGGATGGAGCGTCAAATGGGTGGGATGGCCCAGAATTTAGCACAGTAACTCCATCACGTGGGTTTCCGCCCGCCTTTCCCTCTCCAGCCGTAGTTCAGTTCTGCCCTCCTCCGTTTTAAGGGAAGTGTCGTTGCCCCAATATCTCTGTTTTGCTCTTTCTTTGCTTACATTGAGGGCAATGCAAGATTTAGGTGTGGGGGGGGTAGTATATTGGCTTTTTATTGAAAAAGTGCAAGTGTAGGCATTTTTGTTGGAATTTTTTGTTTGACTTTGTCGAATTTTGTCCAATTTTTGCCTATCTTTGTGCTTATTTGTGATTATTCCTAATAAACGATGGTTAAATGTCTCAAATTTTTCTATTACTAAGATTTTACACTTTAAGGTGTTGAGTATGACATGGTTGATTTTAAGGGTATCTCTTTGGTGAATATTTGAGATTTTGTGACTTTTGCACTTTTTGGTTAACTTTTCTAAGTATTGTAAATATTTGTCTAGCATTTTTTGTGCAAATTGGTTCAGCTATTAATCTTAGTTCTCCATGTTTAAGAAATGAAGCGGGTTTGTGTGGTATTTAATTTTATTTTTGGTGCTTATTTATGAATAGTATTAGGCTATACTCCGCTAGTATCGTTGCCTTGTAACCGGGAGTCTTCACCACAAATGTCGACTTTCGCGTCAAAAAGCGACGATAGCTATGAGTATGTGGTTTTTAAGCGATGATGGCTGAGTAACCGGACTCCTTCATATGGCCAATGTCGGAGTTCGCGTCGAAATGCTTGAATGGCTAAAAACTAAGCGTTCCCCCTAAAAAAAAAAAAAATTCATCATTCATGTGTGGGGATATTCTAGAAAAAAAAATGTGCTAATAGTGAAAAATATGGAAGTGTTTGAATGAATTGTTAACCCGCTGATCCCTGAATTTTAATGTTGAGATTTTGCTTAATAGTTGAACCATTTGCTTATGGATGCTGGTTGAATATTTTATATTCTTAGATTAGTTAGTCATAAATTGAAAGAATCCTTGATCTTGAAAGCTAGTTGGAGAGATATTTCTTGAAAATTGCCACTAATACTTGACATAAGTTTTAATTATATCGTGGCAATAGAAGATTTGAGCAATAGCCATTGTTTGAATTTGATTACTTGGTTTATGTTCTCATGCTTGAGGACAAGCATGGTTTAGGTGTGGGGGAAATTGATAAGTCATAATTTGTGCTAAATTTATAATTATTTTTCCCTTTGATTTTAGCCAAATATTATCTTAATTGATATATTCTACTTATATTTGGTATTTGGGATTAATTGCAGGAAGTGGTGAAGAAAAAGTACTGAAAATCGTCATTCCAGCAGACTCCCTGATAGGTTGGCGTGCCCACGCCTAATTCCAGCTTTCAAGGACGGATTCTCGGGATAATTTGCACACGTGAAGTTTCCAAAGCTGTATGAAGCAGCGGACTTCAATGCTGAAAGGCAGTGGGGCCATTTCAAGAGCTAAAGAAAGCTATCTATAATAGGACTCCTTTGTTTAGGAAAATTGGTACTGGGGTACCAATTTTGAAGGAGAGGAATCCGGATGGGGATTTGTTTATTCTCTCTAGTGGGCCTAGCCTAAAAGAAAAGGAATTTCCTTCATCCCATTGAGTGGCCCAAAAACGTAGAGGATTAGGAGACTTAGTGAAGGCTTGTCTTTAAATTGGTTTTGACTTGGAAAGCTGGAGGGAAGGTACGGAGGTCAGGGACTTTTCCTCCGTGGCCGACTTTTACTTTTCTTCCTTGGCCGATTTGGCCAGGAGCAATTTTGTAAGGTTCAGATAGTTTTTTCGCATGGTTGTTCTCCATTAATGGAGAACTAACCTCTTAATTCAAGTCAAGGGACAATTGAAGATTTGGTTCTGCAATTACTGTGAGATCGAATTTATTTTAATCGCTTTCTCATTTATTGGTATTTATATGATTCCTGCTTTCAATTGTTATAGCTCTTGTGTATGATTGATTAGTGCGCAATAATTAATTATTCATATAGGCTATTTTGCTAAATAGGGGTAATTGAATCCGTAATTGTTCGTTACCTCTATCCCAGTAGCAACTGGCGTAATTGGGTTTATGTCAGGGAAACATACGATCTAACTTAAACAAACCCTCTTAGCGTGTTTGTTAGTTAGGTTTGGGCCTTTCTAATTCTTAATGCAATCTAGAAATTGAATCCTACGGTCGTACCTAGGGTTATTTTTGGATTAGAGAAATAGCTAACGGTCGTACCTTAGCTATCGAGAAATTAAGGAAGGGTTGGTTGTTTATCGCGTGCATGACAACTATAACTAATCTATTGCTAAATGTTGGAATTATTTCTGCATCAATGATCAGTGCATGAACCATTTCTGATGTGTACCCTTGGCTAGAGTTTCCCCAATCATTTCTTTTAATTAATTATTTTCTGCAGTTAATTTATTTAGTTAGCATTTAATCCAAAACCCCCCATACTTTGGACTTTAGAAGAAACAAATTATCCCCAGTCCCTGTGGATTCGACCCTACTCACCGCTATATACAAAATCTGTATTTTTCTCGAGTAGGTATTTATTATTGTACAGGTTTGGCACCTGTCAATGCAGTTCTGTTTGGGCTAGCCTTTTCCTTTTTTGTCCAAGAGTCAGGCTTTGTTTTGTACTTTTTGGAGGCAGCGAGTCAAAGCAAAAGCCTGGCAGCCTGCCAGCTTTTTGAAAAAAATTCGGTCAAGTGCCGAGCTGACATAGCCCGGCACCAATAGATTTATACCCAGCCAGCCTGTGTCAGACCAATAAGTGTCCGACCTTTCTATTTTTTACCTATATTCTAAGTAATTAGCCCAATTGTACGGTGTGCAATTGCTAAATAACTTTTGACAACATAACGTATTTACTCATGGTACAATTTGTACTTGATTAGAAACAGGTATTTGTTGGCAGCATAACGTAGTGTTGTTGGTCATATGCGCTCCATTTGTATGCATTCCACCATTGTGAGTTTCAATTAAAACTTACAATCTAGTACATTTGTCTTCCTATTGAAGTATTTTATTTTGGTTTGGATTGACCTGATTTCAAATTATTTCATGTGGTTCAGAAGCCATAGTATGTGAACTCAACTCATCTCAACTCCTAACATACAAAATCCACCTAAATATTTTCCATACACGTGCCATCAACCCTCAATTTGCACCTCTTGCCCCTCCCCCCACATCCTAGGTTTAAAAGAGTAAAACTTAAATAAAAAAAAAAAAAGGTAGTGCTAACTCATTAAATCATTGATTATTAAGTATTTAAATCAATATTATATACACCGACAGTATATATGATAGTAAACATAGATGTATGTCACATGTACAGCAATTGAAATTTACGCTCGAATTAAGATCAAGTGATTCACATCCACACTCAATAGTGTATATACCACTGTTGTATACAAGATTAACCACTAACCTTTTCTTTTTATTTAACTATCTCTTGAGCACCACTTGTCATAGAATCTTAGAAGCTAAGAGATATGTCTAGTTGGTTTTTAATGGACAGCTGGACACTAGTTAGAGGAAGCCAAGTGTTAAATTTTTTTTGGTAAAGTGAAATAAAATCAAGAAAGTATCCACATCCTTCAATTACAAAATCATACCAAGTATACCACATAATCTCATAATCTTAAAGGTAATAAATACATAGAAAGGCTTAAGTATGGAATCCATTAGTCGCCATGTCATACAAGTGTGTACATAGAAATCATAAATCCATAATATTAACAAGAAGTACTAATTAAACACCTCCTCAAGCAATTCAATGTGAAAAATCACAAGGTGGAAGATTATTTTACCTTGTTCACTCCTCCCTAACCCCTTTTCTATGTAGCTAAAGAAAACAGAGTAATCGAGTGACAACGACAGGCACTTCCTTATAAAAGATCGTGTTCTGTTCGAATTCAATTATCGATGTGAGAGTTATATTGATGAACGATCTGTAAGAACTCCCAAAAGCCTTTCAAGCTTAGACATTTACTTTTTTTTTAGTTAGAGACCAATGTCTTGAGACTAATGTGCCGCCTAAGGGTCTACTGCTTTAATTAAATATTTAATAAGTTCGCAAATTGGAGAAGTCATTTTTTGAGGAGAAACCTTGCTTTTTTTGAACTTGCACACTCCCTTATTAGAATCTATAAGAGGTCCAAATGGGTTGGATTTGAGTAAATTGAAAAAAGACATACAATCTTGGCAAGAATGGTGTTCTGCAAAATATACGACTCATGCCCCTTTAGATTCTTTAAATTGTGTGGGAGGCGTAGCTATTGACACCAATGTAGTCAATTATGTCTCTCCTAGAAGTTGGTTAGCTACTTTTGCACACCGTTACAGGATTCTTCTTCTTTGTGGGTTATTGGTTATATTTCATCTTTTCAACAAGTTTAGTAATGAGCAAAACGGCCCTATTGTTCCGATGGAGAGAAGAACCCATGATTAGCTTTTCAAAAAATTTTCAAACGAACAATTTCAACAAAATCTTTCAATTTCATATTTTACTATGGGTCTGTTTGGATTATAAGTTATTTGGGATATTTTTACTGTAGCACTTTTTGTGATGTGATGTATGTGAGATAAAAAGATATTGGGAAGATAAAAAAGTGTATTAGAAATTGTAAAAATGATGTAAGTAAATAAAATTGGGGAAATATGAAGCAATCCAAACAAACCCTATGTAGTCCTCTATCTACGGAGTACATTGAACGTACAAAAATAGTTGTAACAGAATTTTTCTAATTCGTATTAACAACTACTCTAGGAGAAATATTTTTAGGGGTTCTCGAATGCATGTCCTGATTTCATCGTGTGGTGATGACCGAAGTTGAACTCACTCAAAATTTTTTATTACCCAAAAAAGTAAAATAAAATAGTAATGTGAACTTTAGTCCCTCTGTCTGACGGCCTAAAAAATCGAAAAATGTGTCTCACCTTGTCCTCCTCCTCCCCATCCTGCAGGCGGGGTATGCAGCAGCACCATTCCCCATTAGACAACCGTCTTTTTAGATTGATTTTCGTTAAATTAATTCTGGTCATCTTCTTTCTTCAGCAGAGCAGCAGCTATCTTACTTCCCATGTAAGAATATCATCTGAATGCAACAAACTTCCAAAACAACATCCCAAGTAGCTATACTCAAAACTGAAAACAAATAAGGGAAGGGAAAAAGACACAAAAACCTCCAAGTTCAAATTCCACACATGGATTTACCAAATCCCAATTCCCAACCTATGAGAGTCCTTATTCGGCCCCCAACTCCAAACCCACCACCACCCTCCCCTCCTCCTCCGACACCACCTGATCCTTCACCCATCCAAAGTCCAACTCCCACCCCATCTCAGCAAAACGGCATCGTTGTAGTGGGTTTCGCAGGCAGGCGCCACGGCGATGTAACCCAACTGATTAACCGAGTTATTGACGCAAATGTGTTTGGTTCTGGGAATCTTGACACCCCCTTTCGTTTCAATAAGCAAGAATTGATTAGTGAGGAGATTGAGGAGTGGTTTAAGCTGAGATGCATCAGCTATTATTTTGAAGAGGAAAAAGGGATTTTGTATTTGCAGTTTTCTTCGATTTCTTGTCCGATCATGGACGCGGATTTGGAGTCTCAATTGGGATTTGACTCTTTATTCGAGGACCGAGAATTCGGTGATCTTCAAGGATTGCTTTTTATGTTCTCTGTGAGCATTCTCGTTCCCTATTGTTTATGAAGCATTTAACTTTATTTACATTCTGAATCTTATTTGTGCTGTTAGCTTCGATTCTAAGGCTCTTTTCATATTGTGAAGTTGTTTATATAAAGATTCAAATATTCTTGTCTAAAATACTCAATATGTTTAGGTCGTCGATTAAAAAAGGGACTGAAGTTTATCTGTTTAACGCTTACACCTCATAGGCAGATTCGCAAACATAGACATTCAGTTAAATATTCGAAGTTGATGCCTTTTTTGTTTAATTCAGCATTGCAAATGTAAGGCGTGGCATGAGTTTGGATTGGATAGTTAAAATGGCCTTTTTTTTTATCTATGGAGAATAACTATTATAGTTTCCCATGGATGAGAAGGTGGCATTTGAGATCCATTGGCCGCCTTTCAAGTTTTTGTCTGATAGCCAGGTCTGTACACAGCAATCATTGCACTTGTCTGACCAAAATATAAGTAGGAATTCTGGATACTTTTTGAGTTGCATCTATGAATTGGTGATTTTTTATCTCTGCCACTCTGTACGGTTGGGAAATTTTGCATATTCATGCAAGAAAGCTGTCTTCAGACTGTATTATGAACTATCTATCACATGCAAGGTAAGAATCTAGAGGTATAGTGATACATCAATAAGATGCTCATAGGAACAGATTCATTTGGTAATTTAATATCAACTCACCTGATAATAGTTTTGTTTCTTGAAGGAGGCTGCACTCTGTAGAAGGTTTTACATTAAGTTATTAATTGCTTCATAGACGTATATCTAAATACGAAGTCGTATTCGGTTCCTTTCTATAGATGGTATTCTACTTAGATAAACATGAAAGCTTAAAAGGAGGTCTGCATGAGTATGTTGGGCATCTGTGTTATGACAGCAAGATGAAGAGTTTGGAATTTAACAATTTTGATGAGGACTACATTAAGATTGAAACAGAAGTTTGCAGGAAGTTATAGGCTTAGATTACCTACTAATTTCAGAAGATTCTTTTGAAACGTTCTGAAAAGTGAATTTATAGTTTTCTGAAGTAGAGACACTATTACTTCAACACCATGGTTCTAGTTCTGCAAAGCTATTTTCTCAGAGTAATTTTTGCAATTCCCAATAGTTTCAGAGTTTAATTACAAATTTGAACAGAATTTTATTTTGTTATATTCCTATTTCCATTTTTTTTGAATTTCCATTCTTGAATTTACTAGTTCCCTTTGAATAAAATGGTCTCCTGTTCTAATTACAACTAGTAAATGACTCTAGTTTATTTAGCAATGCAGGTTTGCCATGTACTAATATTAACCCAAGAAGGATCACACTTTGACACACAGATTTTGAAAAAGTTTCGAGTGTTGCAAGCTGCAAAACATGCTATGTCTCCCTATTTCAAATCACAGAGTATGCAACCATTGACACCAAATTCTCATGCTTCATCTTCTTCTAGAATGTTCCTGTCAGGAGCATCATCAAATAGTCCATCTCCTGGTAGAAGCCGCAGCATCTTAAATCGTGGTGCTGCAGTGACATTGATGTCTGGCTTAGGTTCACACTCCTCTTTATTGCCGGGACAGTGTTATCCTGTTATTCTTTTCATTTTTCTTGACGATTTTAGTGATGCTAATCCTAGTTCTGCTTTGGGAGAGCAAGTGGAGGGTTCCCCGTTAAGTCAGTCATCAAGTTCAAACAATATGGCTAGGCCAAACTTACCAACAAAGGGATCTGGGTCAGTTGTTGTACTGGCTCGTCCTGTCAATAAACCTGAAGGTGGTTTCAGGAAGAAATTACAGTCATCCCTTGAAGCACAAATTCGTTTCTCTATCAAAAAATGCCGAATACTTTCAAGCTCTGAAACTGGTCATGCTGGTACAAGAAGTGGAGGCATTTCAAGTGCAGCACCTTTATTTTTGCTAGATGCATCAAAAGCTGTTATACTTGTAGATTTGTGCTCAAACCATAGAGGTGAATCTCTTGAGTTTGCCACTCGCCTTGTTGAAGATGTTATTGATGGGACGGCAACTTCAGATTCTCTTTTGCTCGAAAGCAATAGCCAGAGTGCAAACAAGGAGGACATACTTTCAGTTAAAGAATTCATTTTAAGGCAGTCCGATATCCTGCGAGGAAGAGGGGGTATGGTATCTAGCACCAGCAGTGGCCCAGCTACTGGTGTTGGCATGGTAGCAGTTGCTGCCGCTGCCGCAGCGGCCTCAGCTGCTTCTGGGAAGACAGTTAGTACTCCTGAACTTCCGAGCTTAGAGACCTGGCTATCTTTGAGTCAACCAATTCTCCATGGAATCCTTTCCGTGAAACCAGGGTATACTGGCAAAAGTGAATTTAGCAAAAGAAAACCGGACCAACAAAATGCTGCTATGCCTGCCGTTGAAGGGAATGCCTCAAAAGCTACTGATTCCTTAGAAAATGCCATATCTATTTTGGAGAGTGGTAGAGGGCTGTGCGCCAAATTTTCTACTTTGTGGTGTGAAAAATCCCTTCCAATCGCTAAAGAGATTTATCTGAATGAGTTGCCACCCTGTTATCCAACTTCACGGCATGAAGCCCACTTGGAGAGGGCTCTGGTGGCTTTTAAGTCAATGGTAAAAGGACCTGCCGTGCAAATTTACATGAAAAAACTCAAGGATGAATGCACATCCATCTGGAGTTCTGGTAGACAATTGTGTGATGCTGTTAGTTTGACAGGAAAACCATGCATGCATAAAAGACACAGTGTTGGAACTGATGATTTGCTTGTAACCGACGAGATCAAGCCACATTCCAGTGGATTTGTATTCCTTCATGCATGTGCATGTGGTCGTTCAAGACAACTACGATCCGATCCTTTTGATTTTGAAACAGCCAACATTACTTTCAATTGTTTTCCAGAATGTGACAAGCTTCTTCCTGCACTACATATCCCTCAAGGTAGTGTTGAAGGGCCTATTAAACCTTCTTGTTGGAGATTGATACGTGTTGGTGGTGCAAGGTACTATAACCCTGCAAAAGGTCTACTCCAAAGTGGCTTTGGTACAACTCAGAAATTCCTTTTAAAATGGTCAATTGTTCTTGGAAAACAGAAGATGAGCAATGGTTTGTCTTTGAGTAATCAGCTACAAGTTTATTCAAATAAATTAAGTGGCAGCGACAAAGATGAACCTCTTGCAGGTAAAGACACAAAGAAGGTTGGTAATGCTCATTTTCAGGCACAAGAAGTGCAGAGTGAAGTTGAAGTACCGAAAAGGCAGCCTTTATTAAACAATAAAGCTAGTGACAAAATGATGGGAGTTTCCAACTCGACAATGAGAAAACCTTTTTCTGAGGTGGTTGCTGGATCAGCTGGAACACATTCAGGGTTTCCTCCTCTTCAAACTAGAAAACAACCTCTGCCAGGTTCTGAGAAGGGTATTAAGCAGCATGATACAAGAGAGAAGGGTTTGTCAAAGGCCATGGAAATTGCCAATAATCAAGGGTCTCAAAAACTTCCAAATATTGCTACTATTGATCATGCAACCAATGGGGTTGCAATTAATATTAATGCTGATGCAAATAGTGATCCACCATTACAGATAGGTAGCAATGATGTTCCAATGAACATGGCTACTGGAGGTAAGGTGAGAGAATTTATTCCTCTGAAGCATGTATCGATTTATGTTGGGTTCGAGCATGAGTGTCCCCATGGGCACCGGTTTATATTGACGCCAGATCATCTCAAAGGCCTTGGTTCCCCTTATGCAATGCCTGAAGAATCTCTTGTTACATCATCCATTGAGAACTCAGATCATAATATGGCAGATTCTTCTAAATCTGGTAAGAATGGTGGTCATGCTAGGGCACGCAAACAGTCAAACGGAATTATTAACAATGCTTTTCGCATGACAAGTAATCTGGAAGAGTCAAAAGTGAGAAGCACCAATAAAAGTGTATATGAAAATGGACAGATGCAAGTTTCCAATATATTAAGAGAACAAAATCTCAGTGAAGCTAAAGGTACTTCTTCAGTGATGGACCTTGCAGCTGGTTTTCAGTCTGTTAATCTTGATGATGGTGGAACTGCTTTCTCCCTCTTGAATAGAAGTCTACCCATTTACATGAACTGCCCTCACTGCAGGGAGTCAAGGAAGAAAAAAGATACAATGAATGTTAAATTTGCTAGCACTATTTCACAGCTGCAAAGGATCTTTTTGGTATGAAAAAACGTTTTTTATCGTCTTAACAATTAAGTGTGACTGTGAGTGTCTGAATATATTCATCTTCTCTTAGTAAACAGTTATATGCCTCATGTAAAATTGAATTTCTATTCTTTGATGCATCAATGCATGTTTAAAGGTTTTCACAGGATGATTACTTGGCTAATTGTACTTCCAGCGGCCAGTAAAGATTACTAATAATACTTGTCTTGGCAATGAAACTAGATCTCTGGAAAAGTTTGTTAGGCTATAACATGTATGAAGTCGGAGATAATAAAGGAACAGCATCTCTAAGATAGAACTTAGAAATGGGGTTGGTCATGCATATTGATAGTCATCAGTGCAAAATTAGTCCAAGCTTGTAAATGATATTATTCTTCTCTTTGCATTTATCTGACTCACTTTGTCATATCTTTATCTTGTCTTCTTTTGGTAACTTAGATTCAGATTTATACCACCATGGTAAAGTGAATTTTTAGAAGCACGTTTAAATAAAAGTTACTGCATTGCCATGCATGTCCATGAGAGCCTTCTTTTATACTTTCTACATCACATGTGAATGGACACCCAAGGAGATTAATTACATTATTTTATTCCCTGAGATCTACATTGCCAGTGTGGTTTTTATGAGTTCAGATACTGTTGATATGCTGTTGATTATTTTATTGTGACTGTGCATCTTAATTATTGTGTTGCTCAATGTGTAGGTCACGCCTGCCTTTCCAGTCATTTTAGCAGCCTGCCCAATTGTGCAATTTGAGGTATGCACCAGTTGCTGGAAATGTGCTTTCATCATTATTAGGATTTTTCATTACAAACTTGCTTTATTTGTTTCCTGGGACATTTGAATATGAGTTATCTATTTATAGTTCAAAACGACTCGTTTAAAATTTTAAACTATTTAAAGTGTTATTGCTATCCAAGGTTGCACCAAGCTGGCATCGGGCACTGTATTCTTTATATGACCATAGTAATCAACTCAACATAGATTCAGGTGTTGCTGTTGCAAATGTAAAATTGTTTGGTGTGCAAGATATTCACAACTACTGTTTGATAATTGACTCAACTGTGACTGCTTATTGCACCAGCTTGTGGTCTATAAAAAATAGGACTTGCTTCCATTGCATGCTTGGATCATTATGACATATTATCTTAAATACGGGATGGTATGTTATCATATATTAGCTTCGAATCATTCAAGTGATTAGAATTGAATAATATAGATATGGTTGCAGCTTAATTTGGTGTATTCAACAATATGTTATTTGGAACGGTTTTCAATTGATCAAAGATAATTTGGCTAATTCACAGGATTCATGCCTCCCTTCAACAGTCCCAGATTGCAAAGAAAAGCTGCAATTTGGCCTTGGCTGTCGGGTAATTTTGCCTCCAGACAGTTTTCTCTCACTCAGGCTTCCCTTTGTTTATGGTGTAAAGTTGGATGATGGAAAAGTGCATCCTCTTACGCCTTTCAAGGATCAACCGCAACTGACTGCCTGGATTACCAAAGGCACCACATTGCAGGTTGTATCTCAAGGAAGCAATCTTGCTGAAGGAGCTTACATGTAGTGAAATTTGGTGAACCTGAGGAGTGATGATCAAAATAGTATGGTTCACTTTGTGCTTTCCGAGGCAGATTGCTCAGCTAACCTGCTGTCTGGTAAAGATTTGTTATAACAAATATGCTCTTTGCTGAAGTCCACAATTAACTTTTGTTAAGATGATAGAAAGAAAGAAAAGGGTGAAGTTCAAAATTTATCCCATGTGTTTGACAAAAACAAACTTATTAATTTATTGTATCTACAAAGTTTTGGCAAGTGGAATTATTTCTACTTGACCAAATGAGACTATTGAAGGTGACAGAATCTCATGAGTCATGCACTATAGTGCTTCCTTCTGCATCTTAAAAGTGGCGGCGTGTGGATGGATCTAACCTGGTGCCTATTTAATGGATTTAATGGTAGTTGATGTATCTGATTTTCGCAAAGCATCTTGTTTCTTACACTAGAACATGTAATCTTGGGAAAGATACCATGAAAAAAGAAATCCATGGGTTTTAAAATAAGTAATTGTGAGATGTAAGTGTGAAATATTAGTAAGGTGATTAGCGTCTATTATATGGCCCTAAGTTACTTTGCACTTTACCATCCAGACTTAATAATAGTTGATGTGGTGAAATTTGAAATTTCTTTCTTCAGCACTTTAGTTTAACTCCTGCATAATTCCTTTTTTTTAAAGCTAATGATTCTACGATAATTGAGCTTTGTACTTGAATTTATTCAAGTGTTCGTGTATAGCTTTTAAATAACTCAAGAGTTCTTACTAGTTGCTTTTATGTCTTGATTGAAACATGAATCAAGTTAAGAATTTTGATGGGTAAATTTTTTTTTTCTGCACTTAAAAGGAGTTGGATATACATAGTTAGAGGAGGTCAATAAAGTCCAGGAATTCCAAGTTTGTAACTTTAATTTAGCAGTTTTTCAGATAATTGGATTGACCTGTGCACCTCAATCATGTTGAGATCACATTGTCATGCTGCTATTCATGGACCCATGGTAGATGACACTTGTGCGGGTGGCAGAAACCTTTGGTACAATTCCTTTATCCTTTTTGATTTTTTGAACCTGATCATAAACTATGAGAAGCCAACAATGTTGGGTTAATTCTTAGTACATTAGAGCTATCCTGTTGTGTGGCTTGGGCACTCAATTTCTTCGAAAGTAAACTAGTTACGCATGTCTGTGTAAGTAATCAGTCAGGCGGGAAGGTTTTAAGTCATGCCATCTTTTTTCTGATTTTTGGGGAATGCGTGCTATATATTTGCCTTCTCAAATCTCAATTCCTTTTCAAGTTCTAGTGTGTTTGCACAAGAGTTCTTTAGCATTTAGTGAGGGGGAACACGAAGTAAAAACAAGTCGAATGGAGTCAAAGAGAAGGAACAGCAGTATTGGTTGGATGGAACAATTACTTTTAGTTGCTTACACTAAGGTTCAGGTTAATCTTCCTGCATCTGCAGAATACAATTTGTTAGCAGTATGCTACTAGAAAATATTCTTGGTAACGTTCCTTCAACTATTTGCTAATTGCCATTTATGCCAACGTTTTTGGTTCTTGCCTCTTGTTTTTATGTACATGGAGAGGGTGTGTGTTGCCTGAGCTCTGATGTATCAGCTGATTGCAAGCTATGACAAAGCACAATTTTCTGCCAGAATGAATTCAGCCGGTTGCTCAAGCCTCAAGTTCCAATGAAAGGTAGAATTCACGGGCGCTTTAGAAAAGTTGAAAGAGTTGTATAAATGTGATTATTTAACTCATCTGGAGGCCTACTTTTACAGGATCAGGGAGGGGGCAACTGCCTTATCCCATCTGAAGAAGTTCCCTCTCCGAGAGGTCCATTCCTAGAGGATCTGCTTAATCATATTGATGGCAACTTGGGCATGCCACATTTGAATAAAGGATGTGAAAAATGCAGTTTTCATTAGTCCTTCTGCGGATGGCTTCATGCTTACTTGTCAATTACCTGTCACATTTGTATTTCATTTTCTTTTGCAAAATGAATGCATGGGAAGTTATTGCGTCCAATATTTTCTCATTCTACAGTTTCTGAGCTGTGACCAACAATTATTGCATCCTTTTCGCTGACGTCTGTGCATGCATCATCAAATCATTGCTGAGAACCGAAAGAAAAGTATACATATTTGAAGACATTATCCAAATTCGTCGATTTAACAAGTCTTGCTTCCATAAGCAGCTACAAAGATGAGTCGAGTCGTAGCGTCTCCTTGTTTGGATTGTAATTGTTTGCAAAAAAAAAATTACGTTTTTTACGAACATATTTTTCGATCATTTTTTAATCTCATAAATATCAAATCGTTATGATATATCTCTCTACAAAAATTCTTCAAAATAGCAATTTAAGTGGGTTCTTATTACAGTAGACTAAGAGAGGCAAGAAACATGTTTGAATGATTAATTTTGCCGATGTCCTTTCTTTTTTTCTTTTTTTTTTTACTTTAACCGTGAAGTCGGTCAACAACAGACCAAAAAAAAACGCATTTTTTTTAAGATGCAAAATCCTGGACAGAATCTTTATATCTGTCCACACAATCGTAGAAAGCCAGGCTGGGTTTGGCGTATCAGAGGCCATTGATGAATGGATGGACGAAAACTTGTGGGATCAAATGGCAACAATCACATGCCTAACGCTCCCACGTCCTTCCTGCTCTGCCTTTTCTGGGTCAACAAACAAACTTCTCTCAACTTTATCCAAACAGCTAAAATCCTGAAAACTACACACCAACAAAGAAATATATACACATTTCAATATTGGATACAAATACAAAAAACATATATTTATTATTATCAAGAGAGACTAGAGAAGGCCTGCATAATTTAGGTTTGTCCTTACTGCCCATCCACAACTTTTGTTCTTCATTAGGAGTTGTTGATCTGTATGCATATCCCTCTCCTTTTCATTCTTGAAAAGAATAATAATAACAAAAAGAAGGTTTAGAGGTAGATGGAACTTTCTTCCACCGCCATAAGAGCTTTTTCTAGTCTAATTTAAAAAGTATATAGTCTCTTGAAAGTGGCATGTACTACTAATCCACCACCACACGAAACGTTACAGGCGAATTAAATAAGAAATTGACTCGGAAGATGGTACAACATTAAATGTTAATTACTATCTTTCTTACTGTTTATTTTTTTTTTTTAAAATGTATCTGTACCTAGGCTGCAAAAGAATTGAACAGTTCACAAGCGGCTCGAGCTCAATATTGATCAAGCTCTAGCTGGTCAAATCGAATTCGAACTCAAAATATTAAATTCGTTAGTTCGCAAGTCGCCTCGCAAGTTCGAGTAGATATATATATTTTTTATTTTAATAGTAAAATTACATATATATTTCTAATATTTTATTATTTGTAAAAAATATTAAATTATTTTTATTTTTTCGAATTTGAATCAAACTCGAGTTCAAACTCGAGTTCGAACTTAATAAAGTTAAGTCAGGCTCGACTCGACTAGATTAGTCAAAAGTTCGACTTGACTCGACTCGTTTGCAGCCCTAACTGTGTCATGATATCATCGATGATGCTTCTTAATTTTCTTGATTCCATGTCGGCATGATCCTTCTTAATACTTGATAATTTTTATGTACTGAACTGATTTTCATTAGATACTCGTTAAAAAAAAATAAAAAATCATTTGTTGCTTTATGATTAGTAGGAAAGCACATGAAAATGTTTGGATGTATTCCCTGTAATCAGGGCAAAAGGTTGGGGAGTAACAGAAGTTCCCACTCAATTGAAAATTTTCCATTACTTAATAACAATGGATTGCTTTCGACTTTTAGGTGAAAATGCACTTTTCCTTTTATAGAATGTCGGGACGATCAATATCTGGTGGAAAGGGCCAAAAAAAAAAAAGAAAAAAAAGCAGCTATATATATGCCTTTGATGAACAGGTGTCCGTCTGTCAAAAAGGGACGTTTCTGTCTCCAATTGTGTACAAAAAAAAAAAAAAAAAAAGAAATTATTGAGAAGGGTTTATTTTTCTCCTAATGCTTGTACCTATTGCCTTTAATTCTTGTCGTTTACTACCCCTTGCCTAGTATGTATCATAATCATATACTAGTAGCTTTTTTTTATATGCAGGTTCATTTCAAAATATTTTGGCACCACATACCCTGCAAGGCATAATTATAGCAAGTCAGCATCAATCATCAAAAGGCAATTATCATGCAAAGGAATATTCTTGGAGCTGTGGAGTATTTGATTTTCCTCCCTTCTCTCTTTTTTTTTTTAGTTGAGCTGCTTCTCCTGAGAATCTTCAACCTCTATGTTATGATCTTCTTCAACCTCTTTTTTAACCCTTAGAATCGTTTTATCTTTTTTTTTGTTTTTATGAGCTAAAGTTTTAAGGAACAGATATCTTAACTTGTTTTAGCAACTCATTCTTATCTATTACTAATTAACATCCCATAGGGCAATTAATACATTCTCTATTACCATTACCATTACATAAAACATGAACTTTCAAAGTATTTATTCCACAAACTTCATTAACAACTGGACGTTTCTTCCTTCCTTCCATAGATTATTTCTGAAAATGAAGTCGAATGCTATCTTAAGTGCACTAATGGCTGGTTCATATGCCACTCACCACACCTCCTTAATCCCGTCTGACTTGTTCTACCATCAATGCACTGTAATAGCCTTTTTATCTTTGGCGCTACAATTTACGCATTGTTCGTGGGCTGTAAATCCTCTCTCAATGCACAGTCGAGACTTTTTTTGAAGCCGTGCCGAAAACTAGGAAAATCGGCTTCTCATCCTTACATTTCATGGCCAAAATGAAAGAAACGCGTCATTACAGTGTGAAAGCATCTAATACCCCCTTTTTTTCGGAGGATTTTTTTAAATATTTTTTTGGGTCTACTCAAATCCTACCCTCTAGTGATAATGGAGGAAAGGGTATACGAAAATGATTAGGGATTATTTCACATGCGGTTAGGAATAGGAGTGTAGATGAGTTGAGTCGAATCGAATTTCGATCTAATCGAATCGAATTTCAAAATAATTTTACAAAATTCGAGCTTGAGCTCAAGCTGGACTCGAATTTGAGCCGAGCTAAAGCTTAAAAAATAAAATTTTTTATTTTTAAAAATAAAATAAAATAATATTTTTCTAAACAAATAATAAAATATTAGCAATATATATGTAATTTTAGTATTAAAATAAAATATACATATATATATATATATAAATTGAGGTCGAGCCAGCTCGCAAGCTAACGAATTTAGTATTTTCAAACTCGATCTCGATCTCGAACTCAAACTGCTTGCAATTGGTTCGATTCGTTTGCGGGCGTAGTTAAGATGGTTGAATCCTCTTTGTCTTCCTAGTTCTTCAAAAAAAATTTAAGTTTTCTGTGAATATATTTATCAATCATTTTTTTTGCTTCATATATATCAAATAACTATAGTATATTTTTTTACAAAAACTCAAAAAATAACAATCCAAACAGGTTGATGTGAATCGATTGTGACTGCTAAAAGGTTCATTCAAATTCTTCTAATATGCTAGTTGAAAGAATATTATGCTGTGAAATGTTTTTGGGTTGAATTTTTAGAGAAAATTTTCTGTAACACATTTTTTAGAATATGATATATATATATGTATATATGTGAGGTAAAAATATGAATGAAAAATGTATAAAAGAAATATTCATAAAAAATAGAAAAAATTCTCCAAAAAGTGTCAATCCAAACCAAGCTTAGTAAAAAGATTTTTTCTAATTACTTAATTTACAAGAACAATTTTTTCTATCTTAGTAAACCAAACATTATTATTGTCCAAAAAAGAAAGAAAAAGAAATGTAATAGCTCAAAGCAAGTTCAATATTTTATATAAGAATGTTTCAAGAAATTTTATATAAGAAGTAACATTAGCAAAGATAAGTAAGCCAAGTCGTGCAAGTTTATCCACAAGGCCGCTCCTAAGTCTTGTCGTTGTTTATTATGAGAAGATTCTCTAAAATAAGAATAAGGTCTCTTGCAAGTTTACTTGAGGCAATTATACAATATTAAAAAATTTCAACCGCAAAAATTTTCTCATTCAAGCTCTACCAAACCAATCTGAAAGTAGCATATTAAAAGATGATGACATCAAAGAATTTTTATCGTGCAATAATTGATAGGAGATATTTCATGGCCAAACAACAACGAACAACACTGGTATAAAGTTAATGGGAAATTCACCTCGATTACATCGTAAACCCTTCCTATTTCTGGGGATAATTTCACGAACCTCCCCTGAAGTTTGCCTTAATATCATTTAGCACCTTCATATTTTTTAAAATTATCTCACCACCCTATAATTGACGTATTTTGTAACATTATCATCCATTATGGATTAAAAAATTCATATAAGAGGAGAGATAACATTTTATTAAGTAACTTTACAACTGTTATTGCAACGGGTAGTATTTCAATTTTGAAACTGTGAAGGCAATAGGACAACAAAATAAGAGACATAAGTTATAACGAGAAGACGACAATCAAGATTTCAGATAATGAAATGAATTCAAATAAACTATATTTTCTACTAATGTCCATTTGATATGCTTTTAATAGGTTAGGAAATAATTATATCAAAAGTTCCTTACCTTTTATTATTACAGAGAAAAAAAGAAGATTCTATCATAAATGGCGAGTTTTACTAACAATTAACTTGATTTTTCTTTTTTTTTGCTTTCCAAGTTCATTTTTCTTTTGTGCCAATTTTAATTAATCAGTTAGGGGTTCCAGCAGGGTAATATCATCAATTTATCATCCATGAAAGAGATCTATTTTCTTATCAATCTGATTAGAGAGGTAAGAGAGATTTTTAAAACTATGTGGGCGCTAATTGGTATTAAGTCAAACCTCAAGAGAGGTTTGTGAAATTCTAGACATTTCTAGCATGATTGACACCGGCCGAAAGTGGTTAGAAAGGGCCAAACCCGATACATTATCACGTCACATCAGCCACAACGCATCTGACGTGTCCCTTATCTTTAACGTTCGATCAATTAGGATTGTATTTCAACCTAGCTGGCACTGGAGCCAATGGATGGTCCCTGGTTCCCGTTCGCCCA